CATATACCCAAAAGAAGCACATTCACACAACAAGGACATCTGTTCAACGATGTTCGTAACAGCACTATTTGTATTAGCCAGAAACTGGAAGCAGCCTAGATGCTCCTCAACCAAAGAATGGATGGAGAAAATGTGGTACATTTACACAACGGAGAACTACTCAGCAGAAAAAAAAAACAATGGAATCTTGAAATTTGCAGGAAAATGGATGGAACTCGAAGAAACCATTCTGAATGAGGTAACCCAATCACACAAAGACAAACATGATATGTACTCACTCATATAGATTTTAGACATATTTTAGACATAGAGTAAGGGATTACCATCCTACAATCCACACTGCCAGAGAAACTAGTAAACAAGGAGGACCCTAAAAGAGACAAACTTTGTCCCCTGGAGAAGGGGAAAGGGTCACCATCCCCTGAGCAAATTGAGAGCATGGGAAGAGGGGGAGGAAGCTACGAGAGTGAGAAGGGAAGTAAAGGAAGGTGGCAGACATCATGAGGAAGCAGAAAGGTTGAGTCAGGTGTAGATTAGAAGAAAGGACATATAGGATTTTAGTTTGGGGGGCGTGGTAGGGGAGGAAGGGAGGGAGAAGGGAACTGGGATTGTCATGTAATTCAATCTTGTTTGTAATTCAAATATATAAAAAAAGATTAGCAGTTTTAAGCACCATATATATGTATAAATAAATGAAGAGTCTATGAGTATCATGGCAGTAGGGAGGCAGGCATAGTGCTGGGGCAGTAGTTAACATCTTGATCCAGAAGCATTTCGCAGACAGCAAATGGTGAATGGCATACAGTTTTGAAACCTCAAAGCCTGCTTCCAGTGACACACCTCTTTCTCAAGCAGTTTTACCAGCTGGAGCCAAGCATTCAAATATGTGAGCCTATGGGGCCAGTCTCATTCTAAATACCATATTATGAATGTTTTGTTTGCTTTATTATTTATGAAAACTACTATGTTACTTTTCTTATCAGTGTGAAAAAAATCACCACCAAAACAACTGAAGGGAAGGAAGATATACTTTGCCTCACAGATTGGAAGGGTTCACAGTCCATGGTTGCTTGGGCCCCATGCTCTTGGGTAGAACGTGCCTTTGGAATATTTCCTCTGTTTCTTGACATAAAATAAGAGGAAAAGGAATACAGAATGAATGAGAATGGCCCCCAGAGTCTCATATATTTGAATGTGTGGCATCCAGTTGATGGAATTGTTTGTGAAGAATTGGGAGATGTGGCCTCATGAGAGGAGGTGTGTCACTGGGCTAGACTTTGAGGTTCAAAATCCCATGCCATTTCCAGATAGTGCTGTCTCTGTCTCTCTCTCTGCCTTGTGCCTGTGGATCAAGATGGAAGCTTTTGGCTATTGCTCCTGTGCCATGCCTGCCTGCTACTATGCTCCCTTCTGTTATAATCACAGACTCTTAACTTTCTGGTGCTGAATCTCAATGAATTCATTTATAAATTGCCTTGGTCATGGTGTCTCTTCACTGCAAAATCAACTAAGACACATAACAAATATGGAAATTCATAAGAATTCATTGAGACACTATTTTAAAAAGGTAGGACATAATTAGGCAATCTAAGACTAATAAAAATAGTCTGACATATCCATGGAAAGAATTTAGTTGGATGATATGAAATGCCTAATGTGATGAGCATAGTAAAAAAGCTTTTTAGACCTGTAAAAATAGCTTAGTCAAGAACTCCACTACACCCAAGGTTGCACCTGATAACCAGAACCTAGTGACATCACTTAAGATAACCAGACACACAACTACAACTCCACAACGCCCACCTGACAGCATATAAGCAGAGACCTAGAGCAATGCAGTGCTCTGTGCATTTTCAGGACTGCTGGAAACACTGGAGAGATGCTACATTGGTCTGGAGAGTCTCCCCCAGGATCCTGACCCTCGAACCAGAGACTACTATGAGACTAGACCCATATCTTGGCTAAGATGTGTTGCATAGGTGAGCAGCCTTGGGAAGATAAGCTTAGGAGTATAGTTAGGAACACAGAATGTGAACCTCATGTGATGATCTTCAGCATAATAAAATATACCATTTGTTAGACCAACTACATGAACCTACTTTCTTGCTCCTGACACCTAAGGAGAGCAAATTTCAATCAAAAGCCGCAAATCAAGTGATATTAAGGCCCCCAGTTAAATTAAAGAATTAACATAGTTCTAATAAAAATCTCTTGAAAATCTCTTAAGGAATTTCACCCCCAATAAAACTTGTGAAAGTGATGCTAAATTTAAAGTAAAAATAAATAAAATCCCCTAATGTAACAGAAATAATTCTATGAAAATAAAGTAAAAATAAATAAAATCCCCTAATGTAACAGAAATAATTCTATGAAAATAAAGTAAAAATAAATAAAATCCCCTAATGTAACAGAAATAATTCTATGAAAATAAGAGAGATTTGAATGACAAATCTTTTTAAAAGTCTTTAGCAAGAGGGATGAGTATAGTTATGTGAAAATACAAGATATTATACAGAATGAGTGAGAGTATTTAGGAATTTTCTCAAAATTAAGCTGTTGACTGAGAAAACTATCTTCTAGAACCACTGCTACATAAAATAGATGCCACTAAGCATATGTATGGTAGGTAATAACAATCAAGGTTCTTGCCTATGTTTGAGTAGGGAAATGTTGGGAAGCTAACTTAGGAGACTTAGACTTTCATCTTGAACTTTTTCTTTAAAATCTTGCCATATCTCCCAGGGTAACCTCATAATAAACTCCTGCCTCAACCAACTACAGTAATCATAGGAATACAATTCAATGAGGGCCATGGACAGACACACACACGTGCACACACACACACACACACACACACACACACACACACACACACACACACACACAAGAACCTCCCAATGACAAGTTTGTAGTATTTATTTGTGATACGATTGTGTGTGTGTGTGTGTGTGTGTGTGTGTGTGTGTGTGTCTGTGACCTTATCCTTTTCCTTTCCCAAGTTTTTGAAATTTCAAAAAGAGATGAGGAAAAGGAGGGAAAACTCAGACTTTAGGAGAACTTTCAGATGAAAAGGATTCCCAGTAGCAGCTGGGAGAGCAGGAGTCCAGTCTCTCTGATCACTGTTGCAGGGGAAACAATCCAGTTTCCTGTCTTCATGGACTGGAGGAGAGAGGCAGTCCCCACCCTTTCCAGGCCTCTTACCGTGTTCAGCTCTGACTCCAAGCTGCAGTTTCTAATGTGCGGGAACACGTCACTGTACTTGCTTGGGTAGGTAGATGCCAGGTAGTCCTTCACTTCCTCCAGGTTGTTGGCTGTCAGAAAGCCATCTTCAAGGTCGAAAGAATTGGTCAGCAGCAGAATCACCCTGCAGAGCAGACCATCATCTTGACATTCATGACTAAAAGGCCATTGGCTCTAAAACCTGGGAGGAAATGTGGGCAGCCTCTTCCCTCTGCCCTCTTCCCTCTGCCCTCTGCCCAGGGAGGGAAGTTGACAGGAAGGGCAACTCTGGATGTCTGTGCAGAAGAGATGAGGACAAAAACTCCCTCCCAACAGGCTACTTGACATCTGGATAAGTGGCCTCTGATGAGACTGGGTGGAATGCTGGAAGTATTCAATACTTTATAACCAGATTAGTACCCATTGTTGGTGACAGCACTTGAATGTAGCTAATGCTATTGAGGAACTGCTTAGAAAGAAAGTTAGAATCACTTAAATATACTTACTTATTTTGACACAAGGTCTCAACTATGCAACCTTGGCTGTCTTGGAATTTGTTATGTAGACCAGGCTAGCCTCAAACTTAGAGATTCACTTCCCTCTGCCTCCAGAATGGTGAGATTAAAGGCATGCACCACTACATTTGGCTTAGAATTATTAAACTTAATTTTATATCACAGTGCAAACTAAATGATTTGCATGTATACTGACTTCCATTAATTTCAGTTCTGGTTTAGAGATGGCTACTTATGTAAGTGACCTCCCTACTGGACATCTTAGCATCTGAGAGATTGTCTTCTGTTTTGAGGGACGCCAAAGACAGTAAACTGTAGTCTCTGAGACTTGACTAGAGAGGTCTTGCTTACACTTGAGATTAGGAATGGGACCAAAAACACTGGCTTTTTTTTCTGAATGCCCCTTTCTGCTAAGTGCAATGACTACTAAACTGCCTATTCCCTACTTTTTGGGCCCTCAGAGTCTAATGCTGGTAGAAAGCAACAATTAGGTAGTTGAGAAAAGAGAACTGAACCACACATTGTAGATCTCAATACTTGTGTATACCCTTGACTCCTGAGATCCCAAGTCCTTCCCAGTCACCCTTCCAGCTCAGCAATTTGGAGCTTTGCCTTCCTTCTCAAGGCCCAAGATTCTGAGGGACAACTCAGACTCACTTGTTTAAGCAGTTTTCATAGTTGAAGGTGGCCTTGAAGCCATAGATGGAGAAGGTCACAATGCTGGAAAATATGGCAGTGGTACTATTGATGATAGACACAATGATGGCATGCTTCTGGCAGTTGTTGGAGGGTTCATTGTAGCTGGCAAAGGCAATCAGGCCACCACACCCTAAGCCCAGTGAGAAGAAGATCTGCGTGGCTGCATTGATCCAGGCCTTGGGGTTGGCTAGTTGCTCAATCTAGAAGGCCAATAAGGATAGGACTGAAGAATCTTGGGTTCTAATTTAAGAATCCCTCTCCCAGGAGAAGTAGGCCCAAAGAGGGGGAAAGTTACTCCCAAGTTCTCCAGCTCTGGGCTATGTACAGTGTATTTCTTGGCAGGTGGACCACATCACTAAACCTCATTAAAGTTACCCACCTCTCCCAAGGGAATTTAAGAGTTAAAGAAAGCACTGTTAAACATTGTCAAAGCACTATTAATGTATGTTTAAGTCACTGTTAATGTTTTTGAGACGCTTTTATCATAGGCGCCCCTTAATGTTCACTATTTGCTTAAATAAACTAATATGTTAAGACTAGGAGTGATCTAATCCCTGATTTAAAAAATACTAGGCCATTCCCAGATTCCCCACTCTCTTCAACAAACCATCCAGAATGCCCTCATGCTGTGTACACTCTAGGGAAGCCTTGAGGAAGATACACTGTTTCAAAACTACTTGCATCCAAAGCATATCACTAATCTATTTTCATCTATGTCAGAGGGAAAATATTTTCCCTGTTGGCCAAGAAGGCCCGTTGGGACTGGAGAGATGGCTCAGCAGTTAAGAGCATTGGCTGCTTTTCCAGAGGATCTGGGTTCAATTCTTAACACCCACATGGAAGTTCACAGTTGTAATTCCCTTCCAGAGGACCCAACACCCTCACACAGACACACAGGCAGGCAAAACACCGGTGCACACAAAATAAAGATTTAACATTTTCTACTCCTTTGTTTCGGGGAGGCAGCCTGTTATTGGTGCAAACACAGTACTTCTATTGCACAGTAACTGTCATGATTGATGCAAACATATGTTCTTTCTCTGCCTGTATAAACTGGTGCGTGGCTCAGCTTTTGAGTTATCTGTGTTGCTCTTTGGTTATGCAGCATTTGACCTCATAAAAGCCTCTTGTATGAAGTTTTCTTGCCTATTGTTGTGTAGCTATTTCCTCCCAATGAAACATTTCCTCGTGAAGGGTGGCTTGTTAAAGATTCAGTTAGCTGGACAGTGCCGTGGAGCACTCCTTTAATCTCAGCACTCGGGAGGCAGAGGCAGGTGGATCTCTATGAGTTCAAGGCCAGCCTGGTCTACAGAGTGAGTTCTAGGACATCCATGGCTAAACAGAGAAACTCTGTCTCAAAATAAGCAAAAAGATTCAAGAAGTTAAAGAAACTGATAGTTCTCATGAGGCTCCTGAAATTTATCAGATTCCTAAGGCCACTCCCTAAGATTGTTTAAGTGAGAACAACTGTGGCAGAAAGAGACAAGCAGTGCAGAATGCTCTGGGAATGTAGCTTTTATGCATCATTGCCTATGCTGGGGTGGGCTTTTCTGTGATACAGCTGCCTTGGAAGCATCCATGCCCCTGTTATTAACCCTAATAAACTCATTGGTTCACTAAGCTAGGCTTGGACAGACTTGTTTCTTTGGTGTGTTGTTGGTTCAGTCTTTCCTGAAAAGCAGAGGCAACATCTGCTTCATCATTATTAGAGTGGGTCGGAGGGGAAACAGGAAGCAGAGATTGTGGAAGCGACAGGAGAATCAGAAGGAAAGGTGACATCATCCACCACCACCACCACCACCACCACCACCACCACCACGACCATCACTATCATTAAAGCAGCCACAGTGACAGGACAGCTGAAGAGTTCCAAAGAGAGTAGGAGTAGGAGCAGAGGTCTTAAAGACAGCTGAGGCTGTGAAGAGTTGAAGGCTACAAACTGCCTCTGTTGCTGGGTAAATTCCAACAAACAAACAAAAAACCCACAAAGCTAGGGGCAAAGGGTTTAAGATGCCTCAGGTCTGACAGCTGTCACACTAAGGGTGTCCATGGAAGGGCTCTATAGACATCTGTCTCCAGGCACACAATTTGCTAAGTGAATAATGTGTTCTATTTTCCATTGAAGAGCATTGGCCTGGAGAGAGAAGGTCAAGGAAGGGACCATTGCAACCTGGAGGGTAAGGGTCTAAGGAAGCATGGGGACAGATAAGGGAAATGACTGGAGTGGCATCTGTGGTCATCAGCTCAGTGGAGCATCTAGACAGGACTTTGGGTGAGACCTGGAGCAGCAAGGACAGAAGGGAGGAACCGGCGTCAGTCATTAGGGGTAGTGAGCGTGTAGGAGGGAATGGACAGGGGATTTAATGTTCTCAAGTGCACAGAGTTGAGAATGACCTGTCGATGGGTCCATGTCCATAAGGCATCCACAGGCCTTGGTCCAGCCTTGGGCTCACACAATCCTCGTTGGTTACTTACAGTGTTTTCTTCCTTGTACTATGATTTTTTTCCCCTAGCCATACCAAAAGGAACCAAAATAGGTAGCAGCACCCTCAGGACGTCTTCCTATACCTTGGGCGTGAACATGTATACCAGGCCATTGGTGGCTCCGTGGAGTGTAAGGCCCCGAATCAGGTAGATGATGAGCACAAAGTAGGGCATTGATGCAGTGAAATAGACCACCTGTGGGAACCCAGGAGCAGTGTCAGCCTCAGTTTGTAGGAAATAGCTATGCAACAGTATGCAAAAAGTTCACTCAAAATTACCAGTATATATCTTCATTGAAGATAATGTTTGTACAAAATGTTTAATTTAAAATACGTGAAATTAACTCAATAATACAAATGCTGTGAAATCTTAAAAAATGAGAGATAAAAGAAAACCTCATTCAAGGGAAGATTTTTTTTTTTTATGGAGTCTAACACTGCCCTACCAGAGAAGAGCACAGCTAACTTGGAGATAGAACACAGAATTTGCTCTGTCACCAGGAAGATGGCATAGTCTTTGAGTCAAATGTCTTAGGAGTTTGCCCACAGCTGATAACATCTGGAAAAAAGCACTTCTTTTACAGGGTCTGAAGGTTTTCAGGATAAAAATGTGGTCACTTTTATCAACTCTAATATAAAAGTAAATAAAGCCAGGAGGCTATGAAGAGGGGTTCTTAGATATGACTGCTTGATTGCCACTGTCACAAAAGATACAGAAACATAAAAGGCCCCTGAAACCTGCCAAGAAGGTCTGCCTAGAACTGTGTTCCATCTGGGATTGAGGCGCCCCTTGCTGTCAGTCCTGTACTCAAAGACATCTCAAAACGTCTTGCACAATCCTCCCCGTATTTGCCTTTAAAAATTTCCCCTTGGCCTCTGTGAATACATCCTCAGTCTCCTATGGCACCCATTCCTCCATGGCTCTCTGTAAATACCAAGGTTTATTATGGCACTGGGCTACTTTCCTTTCTGTGCTGTAATAAATCATTTTAAACAAAAGCAATTAAGAGGGGGTCAGTGGAGGAGGCAGTTATATTGCTGACACTTCTTGGTCATGGCGCATCACTGAAGAAAGTCAGGTGGTGCAGACCCGCGGGAGGACAGCTCCCAGATCTGCTCCAGGGCAACCAAGAGAAAGCCTCAGAGTGGCAGGGTGGGGAGGGACTTAGGATAGATTCTTATCTGAGGGTTGCCAGATTTTTCTATCTTGGGGGAAGACATGCTTTCTGCTGGTAACCTAAGGAAAAAGGAACAAGCACACACTTTCCTGCTGGTAACCTTCTCTTTACTTCAACTTAAATAATCTCTTTCTCTTGACAATCTCTCTTTGCGTATATACATCTCTCCCCTGCTCAGTTACATGTTTCTATATTCAGTTACATCTCTTTTCACATGGCTACACAGTTACATCTCTTCACATGGCTACACAGTTACATCTCTTCACATGGCTACACAGCTTTCTTTCACACACATTTCTCTTCTACATCTCTCTTCTGTGCAGCTTTTTTTTGCTACCTCCACACAGTTACAAATCTCCACGCAGTCATAGCTATGCAGCTGCTCTTTACACAGCTCTCTCTCAAACACTCTCACACATACTTCTACATCATTCATTCATTCTTTTTTTTTTTGGTTTTTCAAGATAGGGTTTCTCTGTGTAGCTTTGGAGCCTATCCTGGCACTCGCTCTGGAGACCAGGCTGGCTTTGAACTCACAGAGATCGGCCTGCCTCTGCCTCCCGAGTGCTGGGATTAAAGGTGTGCGCCACCACCGCCCGGGCCCATTCATTCATTCTTTACTCACCCACTCTCATTCATTCCCTCACACCTCTCTCCCCCACAGCAGCCTTCTCCCAAATATCCTCACACTGCTTCCTCCTCTACACTGCCACTGTCCCTATCTTTCTCTCTTTGCATCACTGATGCTGCTCTTTTCACAGCCAAACTCTGGACAATTATGTTACATTTTCAGGGTTCTACCCATTCTCAAAACATAAGTCAAGCAGTTTCTCTTAGACTAAGGCTGTCACAATGGCCAGCCAGGGAGCAACCATGACCTTGCACACTAAGTTGGTGAGGGTTCCCAGACAGTAAACAATTGGCTGGACCTTGAGATTGGGGAGTACATGTAGACTAAAGTTGCTTCAAGCTCTGTCCTTGAATAAGTAAGACAACACCTAGGAAAATGACCTCATATATTTGTCTCCAGGGGCAACTAGCCTGCTTTGAATCTGCTCTGAAGTCTAAAGTCAACTGTCTTGTGTAAAAGGCTGTCTTTGTGAATGAGAGTCCTATGTCAGTCTGAGTAATGTAAAACATCCTAGTTTTATTTTTAGGCATCAGAATTATACAGCTTAAGCATCATCTTCCTGATTATCCACAGTTATATGCATGCCCCATAAGTGTAAAACACACCACCAAAGGGCTAAGGAAAGAACCCCATAGCTGTTCTTATTAGGGACGAAAGCAGTGGTACTTGAGAACACTACAGACAGGAACAACCAGTTGCCCAGTCAATAACCCCATAGCTTTAGCTGGGTGTTGGTGGTGCCAGGATAGGCTCCCAAGCTACACAGAGAAACCCTGTCTTGAAAAACAAAAAACAAACAAACAAAAAACCATAGCTTTGCCAAGTGGGGCTCCACAAATGGGTTGACTTGTTGAAAATTAGTAATCACTGCTGTACATTCCCATGGTCCTCTGCAGTCAGGACAGAAACACAAGAAGGAATTTGAAGCAGAAGTCAATAAGAAATACTTTTGCTGGTTTGTTCACAGGATCATACTTAGCTATCTTTCTTATATAGTGTAGGACCACCTGCAGAGGGCTGGGCCCCCTTTCATCAATTAATAAGTCAATCATCAGCTTATTTACATTATGTTATATAAATTAGAGAGTTTGGACACTAGCATGTTTATAAAGTAATGATAAAATATTCAAGTGAATAAACTTGATTCAAAACAAACATAATAATAATCAAGGAAATCCCCTACAGACATGCCCATAGGCCAATCTGATCTTGTCCACCTCTCAACTATGACTCCCTTCTTAGGTGTCTCTGGGCCATGTCAAGTTGACAGTTAAAGTTAACTATAGCAAGCACTTCTCTCTCCATGGCTCTCTGTGAAAACTTGCAAAGCTCACTAGGACACCTGTAACGATAAATCTTTCTGCCAACCGCCTGCACATGGGCAGCCAAAATAATACACAGAATCTTATAGTAGTTTACAATGCTGCTGGCCAATTGACTAGGATTTCTTATATGCCAGCTCAGTCTTAATTATCATAAATCTATATATTTTATAAGACTTATCGAGGACACCTTCCACTGGCGTCCTCTTCTGGGGATCTCATGGTGGCTCCAGAGCAGAGAACAGGAGGAAGAGGAAGAGCAAGAGCGTGATTTCCTGCTTATATTCTGAGTCAGCCTGCTATGTCACTTCCTGCCTAGATCTCTACTACATTTCCCAGAATCCTCCTTGATGCTAGTCCCACCTATCTTGCTTTCCTATTGGCCAACAGTACTTTATATATCAACCAATAAGACAAACATATACACAGAAAGACCTCCCCCATCAGACACCCATCTGACCATGTCCAAATCCACCCAGACACAGTGGTATCATGTTCCCCAGCCTACCTTGCCAGTCGATTCAGTGCCCCGGAGTATGCACAGGTAGACAATAAGCCAGGCCAGGGTGAGGCACAGGGCTGGCTCCCACTGCACTCCTCCATCCCCCTGGATGGATGGTGAAATGTTGAGTGTTTTCCTGTACCAGAAGTACTGTGTTGATGAAGCCTTTTCACACTCTTCATTGTAGCCTGTGTGATTACCATTCAGTGGGCAGACAGACCATGGCAGGGGATCCTTTGGAATGAAGTAAGAATCAACAGAGAGATAAGGGGAAGGTCAATGGCTTGGTGGGATGATGGGATAAAGCCTTGGCAGAGAGATCTTGGAAGAGAAGAGAGCTGGTCACCCTAGGGCAAACGGCTGCAGCCTTGAGGCTGACAAGGACTTGGGTCTTCAGGGCATGGAGGATGACTGGATTGGTTTGGATGTTGAGGACTCCCCAAAGATCCACACCTAGAGGTTGTGTTCCCTTGGATGAGAAGGTGCTGTAGCTCTTTAGGAGGTGGGCCAAGTAAAAAGTCATTGGGGTGTGCTTTCTAAGAAGCTAAGGGGAACCCTGTCATTTACTTTCTATTCTGGTGTCATTGTGGCTGTTTCCTCCTATATTTATTTAGGACATGTTGTTCTGATAAACTTCATCTTTACTAGAGGCCAAGCTGTGAATTAATAATTTTTTCCTCTTTAGTGTCTAGGATATTTTGATCCAGTAAAGCTGACTAATAATATTTGCTTCTTATTATAATCCTGAATGTGGTTTTTGAGGACTACTGCATTCTTTTATGGGTCTAGAAGACTCTGTTACTAGTGTCTGGACAATGACCAGACCAGCTACAACAAGAGAATACTGACCTAGCCTCACTACAGCAGCCAAACCAGGAGCTTAAACTCCAAGCTTTTGCACTACTGTTAAGAACACTGGCTGTCTTCTAGAGGACCTAGGTTCAATTCCCAGCACTCACATGGCACTAATAATGATTTGTAACTCCAGTTCCAGGAGACCTGATGCCATTTTCTGACCTCCACAGGCACTTTACTATGGTAGTACACATATATACATGCAGAAGAAAAACACCCATAGGCAAAAAAATTGTTTTCGGTTTTTCAAGACAGGGTTTCTCTGTATAGCTTTAGAGCCTTTCCTGGAACTTGCTCTGTAGATCAGGGTAGCCTCAGAAATCCAAATGCCTCTGCCTCCTGAGTGTTGGAATTAAAGGTATGTAGCACCACTGCTCAGCCAGACCAAAAAAAAATTTAACTAAAAAAAAAAAAAAAAAGACTTGTCAGTGACTCATGGATTCTCCTCCCTCCCTTCAACTTAGAACAAGTCAAAGAAAGCAACAGTTGATCAGCTCACTTCCAACTGCACCAAGCCAACTCATCATTAGGACACACTTAAGACAGTCTTTCATCCCATGGATATGGAACAAGGAGGAGGTGAGTCTAGTGCCTTGAAGCTTCTGAGGCCCTCAAGCCAGAGACCTTGGCACTAGTGACTTCCTTTAAGCAGTAATCAGCAGTACTCGAGCTTGGCAGTTAAGACTCCTTGACCCTGTAAAGGGGAGAGGTGAAACCCTCTTCTGCTTTTGGTGGTTTTAGCTGGGTTCTTTGACACTTAGAAACAAATTAACTTAAATGATGTCTGTCAATGATCATAACCCAAGGCCAACTGCTCCCAGAGGTACTAAAGGTGACTGAGGGAAAGACATAAATCTGGTCAGAGCTGTGGGTGTTGTGGGAGTAAGCCTGCTCTAAGATAAGTGCCTTGTTGCCCAGGTCTGGGTTCTAGGAAGTCAGATTTATAGGACAAAAATATTTCACTGATAGAAACAGTCTGAGCAACCTCTTGTCTTCATGGCCACATTTCACAGGACACAGCTCAGGACCCAGTGGCATTATCTAGTGGGCCAAGGCTACTCTACATAACATCAGGAACCAGGGAACTCATCCCACAAGACACTGGCTCCAAGCAGGCCTTGCTAGTGGATGTGAGAGCTGTTTTGCAGCTCTGACCTGGATGTTCCCACAGACAGCTACCAAATGCCCCACCTCCTTTGTTTCAGAGCAGTTTCTCTCCCCTGAGTGTGGAACATCAGAATCAGAAGTCCAATGAATTAAAGTATGACTCTCCTTCAGGCTCTCTTTAGGTTATAACCCACAAACTTCCCCATTCCTCCTGGAGGGGAGGCCTGCATCCTCTCCCCTTATTGTTGCTGGTATGACTAGGCCTCTGCTTACCTGGAAGGAGTGGAAGAGGTACCAGAGAGACCAGGTGTTGATGACATTATAATACACAGAGACCAAGAAGGAGACCACCAAGCTAGCAATGCCTGAGAGGAATAAGAAGGTCATGCTGAAAATCAGGTGTGGTAGCCCAACCTATAAGCAACCCTAGGACAGACATGATGGGACCACCCAGGACAGGAACACTTCCCCTCCATGGTTTTTCTAACGATGGCTTCACATTTGTGACCTGTTTCTTCTTCCCCCACCTTCTCATACATTTTTTTTAATATCTAAGCTAGGTCCTGGGCTCCATGCTTGATGTGTGTGTTAGCCAGTGTTCTATTGCTGTAAAAAAGAGATCCTGACCATGGCAACTCTTATAAAAGAAAGCATTTAACTGTGGCCTGCATACAGTTTCAGAGTTTTAGTCCATTATTGTCATGGAAGCAGGGTGGCACACAGGCAGACATGGTAGCTGAGAATTTTACTCTGGATCCGGAGGCAACAGGAAGAGAGAGACGCTGTGACTGGCTTAGGCTTTCAAAACTCTAAAGCCTACCCCCAGTGACACACTTCCTCCCACAAGGCCATACCTCCTGATTCTTTCCAATAGTGTCCCCTATGAACCTAGGGGGGCCTTTTTCATTCAAACCACCACATGTCTTTGATACTCCCATTTCACAGAACAGAAAACTAAGGTGAAGACCACCCAGAAGAACCAGGATATAAATCTCATCAGAAAAGTGTCACCCATGTGCCTGATATGATAATTATTCCCTTTAGACCAGGCCACTGGGGCCAAACTCATCACTCTGTTATCAGGAGGGCTGGAGAACGGCAGAGGTATGAAGTGTGGGGACCAGTCCCACTACCTTCGACTTGTGAAGGGCCTAAGACAGAACTGTGGATGGGGGGTGACACCAAGTTGCCCTGGAGTGGTCTGACAGTGGCCTTTAGGAACACTGTCCCTAGCTCTTGCCATCCCACATGTACTCAGGTGCTGGTGGCCATGTCAGAGGAGCAGCAGGTGGCACTTGAATTCAGGAGGTCCGCCCACCAGAATGCAAGGCCTCGAGGGCTTTGGTTCCAGAATGTCTCTTGCTACTGCTGTGTCTTTATATGTTTGGGGCTGCCATTTTTTTCTGGTATGTGGCATGGTGTGGTTGGGTGTGGGGGGATCCATACTGTCTTTAATGTAGTGTAATTATCTCATGGAAATATTCCATTCTACTGGGCATTTTTACCTGTGGGTTATTATGAAGAGGATTTCTTCCTATGGTGTACTGTTTAACTGGAGTAATGATTTTATACAGTGTTAGTTTAAATAGAATTTTGATGATTAAGGATTTTTTAAACAAACATAGTAAGGGATTATGATAGAGATTGGTTTAGTGGGAAAATTAATATAGGTAAAGGTAGGATATGTGTTGTCCCGCCCCTGATACAGCAGAGGTTGTAGAGGATAGAAAAATAAGAACAAGGAAGGGTCACACAGCTAGAACTTAGGAGTTTCTCTTGAGGAGCCACATAGACTGTGACTTAGGTTAATGATTAAAGAAAACAATTGAGTCCCAGAAGCTAGGCTAACTCAAGTTCTTTCAATCTTGCTGTTGGGAGATGTATTCATGGGTTTCAGTGTGCATCATAGCTAAAACAAAGCTTTAAATAATGACTTAAGGTTAGGTTAAGGTGCTTTTGTTAAAGTTTAGAAAGACACACTTTTGATAGTTAAGTTGAGGGACTCACTGAGGTTAGGGAAGAAAAGCAATGGCAGCCTGGCTAATACTGGTTTTTCATACCTTTCTTGTTAGGATGGGTTGGTGATCAAAGGTGATAATTAATTCCTTGTACCCATTTCTGCCCTCAGCTTCCTGATATAAAAAACTGTGATGAGTGGGTATGCACCCTACAGACTTAAAGTAGAGCTGACTGATTCTTTTTCAAATACAAAAGTTTAGATTTGTGATTCTTTTAAATTTTTTAATAAGATTATCTTTTGAGATAAATAATAGAGTGATTGATCCTTTCTTTGTAACTGCAAAATACAGCCTGCCAGTAAAACAACTGAGAAAAATATGTTGCTTGCTTAGACTCTGTTAACAAGTTGCTTGGACATGAGTGTGTGTAGATTCTTAGGAATAATTGTTTTTCACCTGTAATATGTAAAATATTAATCATGTAAGGGTTATGGAAAACATATAATTTTTACTTGTATTCATTGTCATCATTCACTTAAAGAATAGAATGTAACCACATTGTAATTTTTATATTGCTTGAGAGATTCTGCTGGTGTATATAAACTGTAAGAGAAAAAAAATAAAGCCACAGAAGAAATGCTTCTGGATAGAGGTAAGAAAAGAAATGAGACCCCCCTCTCTCTCTGTCTCTCTCTCTCTGTCTCTCTCTCTCTCTCTCTCTC